CCAAGGGACCTGCTTCTTGAAGCCCACTCCCTAGATGCACTTGTGAGTGTTGGTGGTGCACTGTCGGTCACCACTTCATTGATGGCAGAATGGCCTTCTTCTCGCCACCCTTCTTTGCAGGAGCCATCTTGTAGAGCCCAAGTTGGAAAGCTATTTTATTTTTTTGAGAGACAGAGACATCCAGAGAGAGATCTCTCAGTCGATGACTCAGTCTCCAGATGCCCCCACAGCAGCCAGGGCTGGGCCTGGCTGAAGCTAGATCTCTCCCCCTCTCCCCCTCTCCCCCTCTCCCTCTTCTTCTCCCTCTCCCCCTCTCCCCCTCTCCCCCTTCCTCTCTCCCCCTCTCCCTCTCCTTCTCCCTCTCTCCCTCTCTCCCCCTCCCTCTCCCTCTCCTTCTCCCTCTCCCCCTCTCCCTCTCCCCCCTCCCCCTCCCTCTCCCTCTCTCCCCCTCTCCCTCTCCCTCTCCCCCCCCCTCTCCCCCTCCCTCTCCCTCTCTCCCCCCTCTCCCTCTCCTTCTCCCCCCCCTCCCTTTCCTTCTCCCTCCCTCTCTCTCCTCTCCTCTCCTCTCCTTCTCCCTCTCCTTCTCCCCCTCTCCCTCCTGCCCTCCCTCTCTCCCCCTCTCCTTCCCTCCCCTTCTCCCTCTCCCCCTCTCCCTCTTTCCCTCTCTCCCTCTCCTTCTCCCTCCCTCCCTCTCCCCCTCTCCCTCTCTCCCTGTCTCCCTGTCTCCCTCTCTTCCTCTCTCCCCCTCTCCCTGTCTCCCTCTCTCCCCCTCTCCCTCTCCCCCTCTCTCCCCCTCTCCCTCTTTCTCTCTCTCCCTCTCTCCTTTAAAGATTTATTTATTTACTTGAAAGGTAGAGTTACAGAGAAACAGAGGTGGAGAGAGAGGTCTTCCACCCACTGTTCACTCCCCAGATGGCTGCAACAGCCAGAGCTGTGCCACTCCGCAGCCAGGAGCTTCTTCCAGGTCTTCCACATGGGTGCAGGGGCCCAAGCACTTGGGCTGTCTTTCCCTGCTTTCCCAAGCCTTAGGAGAGAGCTGGATCGGAAGTGGAGCAGACAGGACTTGAACTGGTGCCCATATGGGATGCCAGCACTTCAGGCGGCGGCTTTACCTGCTATGCCACAGCCCCGGCCCCTGAAGCTGGATCTCAAATCTCAATCCAGGTCTTCCACATGGTGACAGGAGCCTAATTACCTTAGCCATTACCTGCTGCCTCCCACAATCTGGGATGGCACACTGGAGCTGGGACTCAAACACAGGCCTCCAGTGTGAGACGCAGGCATCTTAACCAGCGCCTCGAGTACCCTGTGAAGTGGGTTTGATAATTACGAGGGCTCTCACAGTAATGTCGCACTAATTAAAAGCATGGGAGTAGCAAACATCCAGTTTTTTCTGGTTTCCCTCCTGCGTGAGTGCACAGTAGCTGAATAGATCTGTAGTGTTGCACAGTGGACATCTGGGAGTTCCTCAGGTTGTGCAGGTGAAGGAGACGCCTGACGGCTCTTACGTCTGGAGCCCATGTCCCGCTGCACCTCCTCAAGCGTGGGAGGAAGCAGTGCGCCAGCAGCGCCCAGGGGCCTCGCACAGCTGCTCCACTGTTTCAGAACAGCAGTGCCACTGGATGCTCGTAAGAAGCAAGGGAGAATGATTGGTGTTTTTGTGTTTTCTGTCTTTGTGAATTTAGATTCACTTAGAAACTGTCCAGATCCCTCTAAATTATTCATTTATTAGCTAAGTGAAATATTAGTTCAGATTCTTAAAGTTAATAAGGATCTTGAAAATTATGTTTGAGCTGACTCACTGTAGAGAAACACAATTATTTGTGACATTCTGAGTTTTTCAAAGAGATAAAATTTTAATAATCTTAGATAGGGGGAGTAATGAAGTTTACATTTACAGTTATCTCAAGTGCCAAAGAACAAACTCTTCAAAAAGACATGTTATTATAATTTGATTTACTTGAACACAAAATTTTTTACATTCCCATAATTGTAAATATTGAGTAGAAGTAATATCTTGTCTGACCAATAAAACCAGTAATGGAAATTTAAGAAGTTTAAACTAATTAGGTTTCTCATGAGCATATAAAGCAGAGTCTTACATAATGTAAAAAGTTAGGCTTAGGTGGAGAAGACCTAGATGTTTTGAAACCAAAATTATCAAACCAGTCTGATCTGACTCAGGGTTTATCTTAACTAGGACTGTCATAAAAGTTTGTGTTTAATTACTGTGTATTAAAGCAGTTTTGTTGTAGTATTTTTTTTACCTCTGGTTGTCATACAGCCGAGGGGTGAGATGTGAGATGTCCAAGGGAAGACAAGGAGGGGCCGACTTGGGAAGGTGACGATGTTGTATGGATAGAGAGAGGGGAATGAAAATGGCGGGGCCCGAAGTAGCCATCTGGGGTTACAAGAGATACAGCCAGACTACACACTAGCCTCGGTGATCTGGTTGTGTCTGAAATGAGAGGCATTTCTTTCTCTCTTTCTGTTCTTTTACATTTTTTGAAGGACTTATTTGTGTTTGAAAGGCAGAGTGACAGTAGAGAGAGTGGGAGGGAAGATAGAGGGAAGAGAAGGAAAAGCAAGGGAGAGAGACATATCTTCCATCCACTAATTCACTCCTCAAATGGCTGCAACAGCCAGGCCTGGGCCAGGCTGAAGCCAGGAACCAGGAAATCCATCCGGTCTCCCACACAGGTGGCAGGGGTTCAGCTACTTAGGTCATGTTTCCACGGCCTTCCCAGCCGCATTAGCAGGAAGGTGGGTTGGAAGCTGAGCAGCCAGGCCTCAGACTAGCACTTAGTATGGCATGCTGTTGTTGCAAGAGGTAACTTAACCTGCTGTACCACAGTTCTGGCCTTTTTACATTTTTTATTTATTTTCATTTTATTTGAAAGACATAGAGACAAAGACACAGAGACAGAGAGCAAACTTCCATCCACTGGTCCCCTTCTCAAATGACCACAGTAGCCAGAGCTAGGCCAGACTGAAACCAGAAGCCCAGAACTGAGTCTGGGTCTCCCAAGTGAGTGGCATGGCCCATTGACTTGAACCATCTTTTACTGTCTGCCAGGATGTGCATTAGCAGGAAACTGGAATCAGAAGTGGGCTAGGACCCAAACCAGGCACTCTGGAGTGAGGAGTGGGCATCCTAGGCAGCAGCAGTTCAACCACCGTGCCAAATGTGCATCCTAAGGCACACTGCTCAATGGTGGCCACCCTCCAGGATCCCTCAGCTTCCTGGGGACAGGCGTGGTGGGCAGGTGATGTGGTTCACCCAGGGTGGAGGTTGTGCCAGGTGGTGTGGTGCAGGGGAGGAAGGGCAAAGGAGTCGAGGATGTTCACAGAAACCTGGTAGAGTTAGTGCAGGGCTTCAGGTTGACCAGAGGGTGGATTACAGCGAGAAAGGCACAGGTGACAGCAGTGGTGGAGACATTGGATTGGAGACCAGCGGCAAAGACTGAAAGCCCGGGTGAGCAAGGGTTGGTGAGGTGGATTTTGGAGATGCCAAGAACTGTGCTAAGAATTGGGATATAGAGGTGCTGGCATTGTAGTGTGGCACATTAAGCCTCTGCCTACAACACCAGCATCCCATAGGGCACTGGTTCAAGTTCATTAGCCATTCCACTTCCGATCATGCTCTCTGCTAATGCACTTGGGAAAGCAACAGAAAACGGCCCAAATGCTTAGGCTCCTGCACCCACATGGGAGACCCAGAAGAAGCTCTTGGGACCTAGCTTCAGCCTGGCCCAGCCCTGGCCACTTGGGGAGTGAATCCATGGATGGAAGATTGAGTCTTTCTCCCTCCCTTTCTCTTCCCCTCCCCTTCCCCTTCCTCCTCTCCCTCTCCTCCCCCTCCCTTTCCTCTTCCTTCCCTTCCCCCTCCCCTTTCTCTCCCACTCTCCCTCCCCTTCCCCTCCCCTCCTCCTTCTCCCTCCCCTTTCTCTCCCACTCTCCCTCCCCTTCCCCTCCCCTCCCCCTTCTCCCTCCCCTTTCCTTCCCACTCTCACTCCCCTTCCCCTCCCCCCTTCTCTTCCCCTCTCCCTCCCCCTCCCCCTCTTCTTTTCTCTCTCTCCTTCTCTCTGTCTCTCTCTAACAAGAACAGAAGTCCTCAGTGAACTGGGTGACTGCAGAATGTCAGTAGATGGTTACAGAGAAAGCGGAGAAGGCTGGCGCTGGCAGGTGGCCTCAGCCCCAGAGCAGGGTGGTGGTCTGGAGGCAGTAGCGGGACCTGGTATCCCCGTCTTGCCCTTGCTGTCGTGGGACTTCAGGAGGAAATGACCTTTTGCCTAGCAGTCAGCAGGGACAGTCAGGATTTAGTTAGGGTCAGGTAGGGAGGGGAGCATCCGAGGTGGGGAGGTATAGCCCATGGGCAGGTCCGTGCCCTGGTGGCCCAGGGGAAGGAGGAGGAGGAAGGAAGCGCAGAGCAGCAGGCTTGAGAGGTGAGCGGGGGCGAGCAGGGTCTCCTGGACTCAGCACAGTAGTGACTGCCACAGACTGGGCCCCCCAGGTGGTAGGGTGGGCCGCACAGTCTCTTCCCGCAGGCGGGGCCCAGTCCTAGCAGGCCATTTTGGGGTCCTGACAAGAGCCATCGTCCCGAGCAGTCCCTGGTGTTGGTGAAATCAGCTCTCTCCTGATGTGCTTCCTGAGTCCGTTCTGCAGCAGATGCCTGGTGAACACCTGCTTCGTGTCAGGCCCCTGCCAGCCAGGGGGCAGGAAGAGGCATCCAGCACAGCTGCTGGCTTCTCCCGAGACCCCTAGAGCAGGTGCCAGCCGTGCCCTCTCCCCATGCCCTGCCACTTGGTGACAGCGGCTGCCCTTTGTAAGACTTACCTAGATGGCAGTAGTTCTGCTGTTTTTAAAGAAGATGAAAGCCATAGGCCTGAGAGAAGCCAACAGAAGCCCGAGGTGCCCGTGTGCTTCCCTGCCAGCACCCGGTTCCCATTCAGAACAGCGCTCACGTTGCCCCTTGTCTCCCCCGTCCCCGCCCGTTCCAGAGTTTGGCGTGTACTGCAGCCACTGCCGGAGCGAGGTCCGAGGCACGCAGTGTGCCATCTGCAAGGGCTTCACCTTCCAGTGTGCCATCTGCCACGTGGCCGTGCGCGGCTCGTCCAATTTCTGCCTGACCTGTGGGCACGGCGGCCACACCAGCCACATGATGGAGTGGTTTCGGACTCAGGAGGTGTGTCCCACTGGCTGTGGCTGCCACTGCCTGCTCGAAAGCACTTTCTGACCTTGAGAGGGTGGAGCTGTCGGAAGCCCCAGAGGACACCGGTGCCGGCAGCAAGCGCTCTGCCAGGAGAGACTGTCAGGAACCGCCGAGCCGGGAGCGCCTGGTCTTCATGGGTTGCCACTGCGTCTGTGTGCCTCCTCATGGACATCACTGAGGAGGAGGGGATGTGCGCACAGAGCTTTGTGTGTTGCCTGCGTCAGCTTAGCTACCAGGCAGGAAGTTCTCATTCAGAAAAGCACCTGCCTGCAGAGCCAGTGTTACCTCGAGGTGTCAGCCTCAACCCACTGAGCGGTGTTGATGCCAGTGCCGAGACCGCTGTCAGATGCGGAAGGCGGCCTCCTGAGCCAGAGGACGTGGTGTCAGTGTCGCCGCCCGGCGGGCTGTGCCGTGTGCAGCTCCAGAAGCTGGGACATTGGATGAGCTCATGGAGAGTGGCCTTCTGGAAAGTGACACTCGCATTGTGCATAGGCGATGTACTGAAGGAGCCCTAAGGTATATTTTGTTTGTCATTTCTCCTCCAGCTGCTGTTCCTCGGCTAATAAAATTCTAGTCGTTTGAAAAAAACCAGAAAGTGGAAGTGAATTTAGTGACTCGTTTTTTACCCTAATTCTCACTGAGCTTATTTTGGATAGGATGGAAGTCAGTGCTCTGATTTTTAAAGGAAACGTTGGTTTATTTTTGTCATCTGACAGGAGAAAATAGAATTTGACATTTCAGGTTCTTTGCAGCCCCAAGAGTCTCGTAATGATTTCTTGCAGAGAGGGAAGAAGAGCTGGCATTGCAGCACTGAAACCCGGTGTCCCCGCAGCCGTGCGGATTGCCCGTTCTGGCGCGCGCCTCTCTTCATCCGAACCCCTTGAGAACTGTACCCATGTTTTTCTGTGTTCTGAGTGGTTGCAACTCCTGTGCCCACCAGTTCTTCAGTGTGGTTTTCAGCTCTTCACATTGAATGTATTCCAGAAAAAAAATTTTGGGTATTTCTATTGAAACTCCTCTTTCTTAAAATTTTACATTTCCACAACGATCAGTTTAAGCAATGCCCCATGATTTGAGAGTGTTGTACATCACTGCGCTCAAACTACAGCCCAGGACACATGAATGGATTCTGAAATCATTGCAGCGGATCAAAAACAGTATGTAGAGGAAATAAAATAGTGTAGAAGAGAAATAATCACGATGCACCATATGGAGAGAAAGTGAATACAAGGGTATTTCATAAAGTCCATGGGAAATAGATTGAAATATAAGTTCATTTTGATGGAAAAAATTTGAAATCCATGTTTTTTCACAATAGGCATTTTCCATAAACCTCTTTGAAGACTCCTCTTACGTGTGGATTTCAAAATTTATTTTTTAAATGAATTCTTTTTGAAGATTGATTTATTTGAAAGGCAGAGTTAAAGAGATAAAGGGAGAGACACGGAGATCTTCTGTTGGCTGGTTCCCTCCCCAGATTGCCGCAGTGGCCGAGGCTGGGCCAGACTGAAGCCAGAAGCCCGAGACTCCTGCTGCATCTGCCGTGTGATCCACAGGAGTCCATGTACTTAGACCGTCTGCTGTTGCTTTCCCAGGTGTGTTGCACACTTGTATACTGGATCACAATGGAAATTCATTGGTAGCTGAAGATCGTGGCCAACAACATTCTCTAACACTGTTCTGGGTGATGCCGAAACCTGCGTTACTGGGTGTGACGCACCACGATGTTAGACAAAGTTCGGACCCTGTGCCGTGGGGCCAGCGTGTTCATGCTGGACTGTGACCCACGTTAAGGTGCCAGCAGCTTGACAGAGTAAGCGGCCAGTTACTGGAAGGCAGCTGGAGGAGGGGGGCCAGGACAGTGACTTTGTCACGTCCTGCTTTTCCCTGGTGTTGAGGCTGCTGTGATGGGAGCCTCTGCACAGGCTGGCTTATTGACACAGGGAGACAGAGGGTCTGTGTGACGCCACTGGGGCGCCGTTCGTGGAGAACAGGCTTCTCCTGTCTGCTGCGCTCAAGCTGATGTAAAACTCTGTCCTCTCTGTCCCCATCAATGTTGGGACTTCTTGTTTCAGTTATGTCATGGAGAATTGGCCTCCAAAACAGAAAAATGTTAATAATAGGTAGGAACCAATGGGTATTTCAGGTTTCATTGTCTTTTTGCTGTATGAATTCCTTCTTTGGCCGGCACCGTGGCTTACTAGGCTAATCCTCCGCTTTGCGGCGCCGGCACACCGGGTTCTAGTCCCAGTCGGGGCGCTGGATTCTGTCCCAGTTGCCCCTCTTCCAGGCCAGCTCTCTGCTGTGGCCCGGGAGTGCAGTGGAGGATGGCCCAAGTGCTTGGGCCCTGCACCCCATGGGAGACCAGGAGAAGCACCTGGCTCCTGCCTTCGGATCAGTGCAGTGTACACCGCGCCAGCCGTGGCGGCCATTGGAGGGTGAACCAACGGCAAAGGAAGACCTTTCTCTCTGTCTCTCTCTCTCACTGTCCACTCTGCCTGTCAAAAAAAAAAAAAAAAAAAAAAAAAGCCATGGAATTCCTTCTGACTTTGCGGTCTACCAGAACAAAGTCTGATATTTTCACAATGTTCATGTTTGGAAACATGCTGGCCTGCACACCGGCCATGGTCGGTGTTCTCCACCTCGAATGGATGACTACCGGCACCTAAGCCTAGGTGCTCCAGAGTGTCTTTGAGCTTGGCAGGCAAGTCAGTCGTATTCACCAATCAGAAACCAAAGCTTGCTCAGGCAGCCTCCTGGAAAGCAGGGCTCAAACCTCTGGGGCCACGACCAGCTCCTGTCACCAGACACAGTGGAAATCATGCTTTCCTTCTCAGTGCCACGCAGGCAGGCAGCGTCGCTTTGAAATGTTTCTCTGGGATTCCCGTAGCAGAAACACACGGATGCACTTGCTGGAATCTCTTTCCCTGCTCACAGTCTCCTGGGTAACCGGCAGGATGGAGGGGAAAACCAGTTCCTTCTCAGTGGCTTTTAAAACAGCAGGAACTAAGGAAAAGGCAGCACTGGTTCCGTTGGAGGACAGGTGCTGAGGCCACCCTTGGGCGGGAAGGCTGAGGGAGTTCATCGGAAGTCCCCGTGCGGCGGAGCAGCTGCCTTTGCTAACTGAAGAAGCAGGAATGAAAGCAGCAGCATCAACAAAAACCTCCACAGGTTACCTTCTCCTTCCACCCTCGAGGCAATAGGGCGTGTCCTTCACACTCTAAAGATAGAGCCCCAGGGATAAGACGTACCTTGGATCCCTCAGTCTTAGAATCTGACATCCCATCAGAATCAGATACAAATCTACCTTATTGGTACTCTATCATACTGACAAGTTTATTTCGTGAACCGGGTCCCTCACATTGCTTTCCCAGGTACATTAGCAGTGGAGCAGCTGGAACTTGAACCTGCACTCCTATGGGACGCTGGCCTTGCAGGCAGCAGCTTACCCTGCAGTGCCACAACAGGGCCCTGGTATTTTTTTCTTAAGTCTCAGGAGGTCAGACCAGCATTGTGGCATAGAGGGTAAAGCCTATACCTGAAATGCTGTCATTCCATATGGGTGCTAGTTCGAGTCCTGGCTGCTCCACTTCCAATCCAGCTCTCTCCTATGGCCTGGGAGAAGTATCAGAAGATGACCAAGGTGATTGGGCCCCTGTCCCCGCGTAGGAGATCCAGAAGAAGCTCCTGGATCCTGGCTTCAACCTGACCTCAACCTGGCCATTGTGGCCATCTGGAGAGTGAACTAATGGATGAAAGATTCCTTCTCTCTCTCTCTCTCTCTCTCTCTCTCTCTCTCTCTCCTCCCCCCTCCCATAACCCTGACTAAAATAAATAAATCTTTTTTAAAAATCTCAGGAGGCCTAGTTTTATTCATCAAGTATTGAACATGAGACGGGCACTTGGGCAAAGGGGAGTCATAGAGAACTCAGGCTTGTGACCTGTGCTCTGACCAGCCCGCTATAAACCAGGGTTCCCGTGGCCTCCTTGATGTCACCGGAAATAAACGGGTGGGAAAGAAAGGTTAACATAAGTTTTTTTAGGGCAGAATATAAGTGACTTAGGCCCAGGAGACACAACCCAACCACTTTCAATGAGTCTCAGTATTCAGCAGTGGTCAGATTCTAGTATTATAGTTTCTGTATTACACAATAACCATATATTGGCTTGGTCTGGAAAGGTGTGAAATTTGTGTCACTGCCTTCAGGTATCTTCAGATATATATAACTGCCTACAGGGGTCTTCAGATATATGTAACTGCTGGATCAGAAGTGGACGCACGACTTGAACCAGACGCTCCACTACGGGATGTGGAATCCCAAGTGGCGTCTTCACAGCTACACCTATCTGGCAGAACTCCAAGGGCTGGAGAACAGACTGGTGGTTGTCAGAGGCGGGAGGGCAGGAGACAGGGAGAAATGGGTATAAAAATCCCCATGGGAGTGTAACAGTTCCGTACCTTGACGGTGGTGAATACGTACCTACATCTGTGATAGCATTGCACCGACTTGTTCGCCTGCACGCAGATGAGCACAGGTGAGACGGGAAAGTCTGAGTAGGGGAGCGGACTTAGCGAGGGGCGTGTGTGTGTGTGGCAGTACACTAGTGCTGCGTGTGGCAGTACACTAGTGCTGCAGCGTGCTTCTGTTGGGAACTGGGCAAAGGTGCCCTGTCTCTGTGACTTCAGGTTTTTCCAAAATGAGAAGTTTAATTACATAGCTGGACACCGCCTCCCACAGTCGGTCCTGATAAACAGATACAACTTTTGAGCATCAACTGGGCCATGCTAGCCCCTCTCTGGACCTGAGTGTTTGTTGACCAGGGATCCATGGGACTTAGGGACTCTTCTGTCCTACGTGGGGAGCAAGATCCAATCTGTAATTAGCACACTGAGGCCCGAACCCCTGGATCTGCACCCCTGCATGCTCCCCCTCCTGCAGAGTTGGGCATGGGTGTGGCAAGCAAGAAACTAGGAGCGCCGGCGCCGCGGCTCACTAGGCTAATCCTCCGCCTAGCGGCGCCGGCACACCGGGTTCTAGTCCCGGTTGGGGCGCCGGATTCTGTCCCGGTTGCCCCTCTTCCAGGCCAGCTCTCTGCTGTGGCCAGGGAGTGCAGTGGAGGATGGCCCAGGTGCTTGGGCCCCGCACCCCATGGGAGACCAGGAGAAGCACCTGGCTCCTGCCATCAGATCAGCGCGGTGCGCCGGCCGCGGCGGCATTGGAGGGTGAACCAACGGCAAAGGAAGACCTTTCTTTCTGTCTCTCTCTCTCACTGTCCACTCTGCCTGTCAAAAAATAAAAATAAAAAATAAAAATAAAAAAAAGAAACTAGGAGCTTGTGTGGGTGTGGGTGGCTCTCAGGGCTGTCTTTCCTTCAACAACAGTGAGTGCCATTTCCCTTAAAAAGCGGGAATGGAGAGGAGGGGGAGGGGACTCAGGAGGACCGGGTACAGCCCCAGTTGCCCCTCTGAGAGGGGTGGCTGGTGTTTTGTAATAAGCATATCTGACTTCTCTCCAATTTTAGTCTGTTGACTCAGTTCCCATAGGGTGGTGGCAGTGGTTTTCCGGTAAGACTTGCACTTGTAAATCAGCAAAAACGTCCAGGAAGGGGTGACAACTCTGATGTCTGCCATCACATTGGAAATGCACAGCTCCTCTGGGGACACCGGTTATCTCCTCCCAAACCAGATGCAGACGTTCTCAGAGCTGCCCCTGGGGAGAAGGCCTGTTCGTGCATGGCAGGCCCACGGTCCAGCAGTGTTGAGTTGAGCTAGCCAAAAACAGACAAAAAGCACAGAGATGAGTACGCAGCTTTTCTCCATGATGAAATTTTACAAGAACATAAGTCACAAAGCCACCTCTAGTCACAACCCGTGTTTTGCCACCTGAAGCCAGGATACAGGTGAAGGCTGAGGGAAGCAGAGAGACGGCAGTGCGTGGCTTCCTGGCCTCCGCTGTCTGCGGCTGTGGTTCCGCAGCGCCGCTCAGGAGTGCGACCTGTCTCAGCTGGGAGCTTCAGGAGATGGAAACCCCGGCCCGGCTGCTGCTTTGCGTGGATGCTTTTGAACCCAAGCTGGAAGCAACGCTGCTTTGAAGTGGAGGGCCTCTGCTCTGCCACTTGCTCCATTTAGACAGAGCGGTCGATAGGTGGATAGAGACCCAGGCTGTCTACGTGGAGGTTTTTTTTTTTTTTTTTTTTTTAATCCTGAACCTTTGCTGAGTGGAAATCAGAAACGGAGGAAAGGCAGGAAAGATCAACGTCCGTGTCCCAAGTAGGAGGAGCTCTTTCCCGCTGGAGAAATACCCCAGGAAGGAATCAAACCTGGTGGGGTTTTTTCTTACACAAACATTTTGGACACGGCTGAGACAATAGAATCTGAACACCTCTGCAGGACCTTTATTGTTTTCTCCATGGAAGCTGGAAACTCAAGGCGGGAGCCCTCACGGCTCGGGGTTTCCCGCGCGGTCGCAGCTCGTGGAAGCAGGGAGATGCCCAACGCCAGGTGGCAGCAGAGGTCTAGCTTCTGCCCGAAGGACGTTGAGGAGAAAGGTCAAGCCAGGCGGATCTGCACTTGTTTCTAACGAGAGAGCTGCTTCCCTGTCATTCGCTCCAGTTCCTGGATGCTCTGATTGGAAAAACATCAGAAAGGAAAAGCTGTTAGGAGTCCTGCGCCTCCCCCACCCTCTTGGATTTGAACAGCTCTTAGACTTTCCTGCTGAAACCGCAGCTCTTGAGGTTAACTTTCAAGAGAGAAACAGCTGCAGCACAGTTGTAGGGAAGGAAGGGGGGGGGGTGGACTCAAATCCAGGGGTCTGGTTGGTACAGTGGTTCAAGGGGCTCTAGCAACACCGCATCCAGAAGCACGTGAGAAAGGCGGAAGTAAGAAATAAAAACCTGAAGTCTTAGAAGCAAGGTGTGTGTCGTTTTATGTACTCTGACCCCTGACCCTCACACAGCTCATTTGATGGTTGGTGAGAGCAAGGCTCAGAGACACAAGAAGAGAGGCAGCAACAAGGGGCCATTGCTGTGGCAGAGTAGGCTCCGCCTCTGCCTGTGGCGCCAGCATCCATGTGGGCACCAGTTCCTGTGCAGTTGCTCCTCTGATCTATGGCCTGGGAAAGCAGTGGAAGATGGTCCAAGTGCTTGGGCCTCTGCACCCATATGGGAGACCCAGAAAAAGCTCCTGGCTTCTGGCTTTGGATCAGCCCAGCTCCAGGCGTTATGTTCATTTGGGGAATGAACCAGTGGTTGGAAGACCTTTCTCTATGTCTGTAACTCTACCTCTCAAATAAATAAAATAAAATACTTTTAAAAAGAACAACAATAAAACTGGGATCAGAACCCAGCTTTCCTGGAATGTAATCTGGTAAAGCCACTATTTAAGACAGTATGGAGATACTTCAGAAATCTGAATATAGGCCTACCATATGAACCAACCATCCCTCTCCTGGGAATTTACCCAAGGGAAATGGAATCAGTAATAAAAGAGTTATCTGCACCCCCATGTTTATTGTGACTTAATTCACAATAGCTAAGACATGGAATCAACATAAATGCCTGTCATTTATTCAACAAATTATGGGATATGTAAATGATGGAATACTACACAGCAGTAAAAAATGGAATCTAGTCATTTGCAACAAAATGGACGAATCTGGAAAACACCATACTTAGTGAAATAAGCCAGCCTCAAAAGGACAAATACCATTGATTCTCCCTGATCTGTGAGACCTAATAGAGCACCTAAAATGAAATCTGTGGAAGTGAAATTGACACTTTGAGAAGGACTTGAACAGCCCATGTCTTGACTGTCGAAGAACAGTTTTGATTTTTTTCTTTTTTTCTTCATATTATTTGTTGAACTCTTTACTTAACATAGAGTTAATCATATGTGTATAAAGTCAATTAGGGATGGATCTCAGTAAAAAAATAAGAGTGGGAATAAGAGAGAGAAGAGGAAGTTTGTAACTGTAAAGCTGTGTAGTTCTACATACATTCCTACGGATTTACTTCTAAGGGTACAGTTTAAAAACTTGCCTTGGGACCCCAAATCCCTTTAAGCTGGGTGGTAAAAATGCCATCTTAAGTGTTAAAGTGATCATATTAAGTGTTAAAGTGAACATATAGATAGGATTAAATGTTAAAGTGATCATATAAATCAGATCAAGTGCCTGGTAATAATAACCGATAGAATTAAAAAGGAGTGAATGTTCCAACATGGGAAGCCATCCACACAGCAGATTCATAGAATGACAATTGCTTTAAATAACACCTTGACCTCAGAACCAGTCCTTAAGTCTTCCTGGTCTGGAGGAAAAGACCATGAGAGCATTTCAGGCATGGAAAGCCAAGACACTGTGGCAAAAAAAAATGTTCTACATGAAGGATCTCTGTGAGTGAGGTCCCAGTGGAAAAAAGGAGCCATCAAAGAAGAATGTACTTTTCTCTGAAGGGAAGAGAGAACTTCCACTTTGCTTATGGCCTTGGCCAAATACTGACGGAGTTTGTGGATTCAAAGGCTTCCATCGCCTAGGCAGCTCATGTCAAGAGCCTCGGGTGGTCACTGACGACATACATATGAGTGTTAATTGTTAAATTAACAACAGGAGTCACTGTGCACTAACTTCCCTTGTGGGACCTCTGTCCTCAAAGAGTTGTATTATGAGAGTTAACTGTAAAACTTGCTCTCAGATAGTTTGTGTGTGTGTATGCAAATTGTTCAAATACTCAGTATAGAGTTGGTCTTCTGTGTATAAAGTTAATTGAAAATGAATATTCATGGAGAACGGGACTGGGAAGGGGAGAGGGAGGAGGATGAGGGGTGGGAGTCTGGGTGGGAGGGCAGATATGGTGGGAAGAATAATTATATTCAGAAAGTTGTACTTAGGAAATTTGTATCCCTTTAATAAAAGGTTTCTTTGAAAAAAAAAAAAAAACAGTGTTTCTAACATAGGCTACAAAGCCCATTAATCATTCTTAGGATAAACTTCTGGAATCGCCTTTATTCATTTTACTCCCTGGCATTTATTTACTTGGGCCCCTGTATTAGCTTCGTGTTACTGCAGAGAAATGCCTGGGACAAGCTGCTGCTGATGGAAGTAGAGCTTCATTTTGATCACAGTTTCAGAGGTTCAAAGGCATGGTGCCTGCAGCCACTCAGTTCTGATGAGGCGTGGAGCAAGCATCTGGAGCAGAACGGGGAAGAGGGGCATGGTAACGTAATTCCCTCTGGGGGGCACAAACCCCAGGGACATCTAAAGGTACCAGCATTTCCCATTGGCACCAACCCAGGGACCGAGCCTTTGACACACAGACCTACAGGGGACAGCTAAATATCCATACCATAGCAGTGACCTTGAATTTGCTTTGTACTGACCAAGGCACATACACGCACACTCAGGAAATACTACTCTCCACTTCCCAGACTGGCAAAGATGAAAAGGTTGACCACAGCCTTGCTGGTGTGTGCGAAGCATGCAGATAGGAGTGATAATGCGTGAAGCCGTCTTAGAAAACTCTGGGCAGTGGCTCTCCAGCCGTCCAATACCCAACCCTTGGATGCAGTCTCACCAGTAGGAATTCGTCCTGTAGGAGCACTTGCACAAATGCACAAAGGTGTCTGGATGAAAGTTGTTCACTTTCAGATTGCCTACTACAAGGAAAAGAAAGGAAAAACTAAATAAATGGTCATCAGGAGGAGGTTGATTAAATAAATGTTCAGACAGTGGAATACTACACAACCACTGGAAAAACAGATTAAACATGCTACTGCAATATTATTTTTTAAAAGGATTTATTTATTTATTTATTTGAAAGAGTTACACAGAGAGAGAGGAGAGGCAAAGAAAGGTCTTCCATCTACTGGTTCACTCCCCAGTTGGCCGCAACGGCTGGAGCTACACCAATCCGAAGCCAGGAGCCAGGAGCTTCTTCTGGGTCTCCCATGTGGGTGCAAGGCCCAAGGGCTCGGCCCATCTTCTACTGCTTTCCCAGGCCATAGCAGAGAGCAAGATTGGAAGTGGAGCAATCGGGTCTCGAACCAGTGCCCATATGGAATACCGGCGCTTCAGGCCAGGGCATTAACTTGCCGCACCACAGCACCAACCCCTACTGTAAATATTATTAAGCGTGGGGTCCTGGCTGCTCCACTTCCAATCCAGCTCTCTGCCATGGCCTGGGAAAGCAGTAGAAAGTGGCCTAAGTCCTTGGGTCCCTGCACCCGCGTGGGAGACCTGGAAGAAGCTCCTGGCTCCTGGCTTTGGATTGGCACACCTCTGGCTGTTGTGGCCATCTGGGGAGTGAACCAGCAGATGGAAGACCTTTTTCTCTCTCTTTCTCTCTCTCTTCTCTCTCTCTCTCTCTCTCTCCCTCTCTCTCTCTCTCTGCCTCTGCCTTGCCTTTCTTTAACTCTGCCTTTCAAATAAATAAATAAATCTTTAAAAAATATTATTAAGTGAAAGAATGCACTGACAGACTTACATATAAAGTGCGGTCCTATTTTTAAAAAATGATCTAGACATAAAGGCATACAAAGTGTCTGGAAGAATACATTGTTAGAGTTAACATTGGAGACTCAGCTGGGGTAGGCAGGGGTTTGGGAGTGAGAAAGGACTATTTAAATTTTAATTGTTTATACTGTTTCTTTTTTTTAATATATTGCTTCTTTCAAATTATGAAATAAAACCACCTCGTGAACCTGAAAGTAAACACATTTTTTAAAAATGAAAAACGCTTCTGCCGCTGCTCGGTGGGCAGCTGCACACGGTGGTTGCAGGAGGGGGCGCTGGGTGGGGGTCACTGGGTGTGGACCACGGCAGTTTCCCAACTTTTCTTTGAATGGGAGGCCCGTGGCTGGGGTAACGTTTATGTGGATCAATAAAAGCACACACCCCAGGAATCTGTGCTTCTTGGCCAGATTTATTACTGGGTAATTCTCGTGGGTGTGTTTTCCGTGGCAGATGTCATATCACGATGGCCTGAGGGCATCAGTCTGTCAGGTTAATAGGTGGCCACCATTAGAAGTATGTTTTTAAAAGTCCCTCCCTAAACAGTCCTCCTAGCATAGACTGCAGACCCATCAATCAGCTCAGGAATCAGGATAAACTTTTGAAAGGGGCTTTCTAACACTGGCTCCCCTGTCTGTATTTACTGGGGCTCCTGCATCAGTCAGCTTCATGTTACTTCAGTGAAATACATGAGACAAGCTACTGTTGAGGTTCATTTTGCTCACGGTTTTGGAGGTTCGAGGGCGCAGTGCCTGCATTGACTCAATTCTGCCACCTGAGAAAACTTGACTCTGCAGAGTGGGCGTTTGGCACAGTGGTTGAGACGCCACTTGGAACAGGCGAGTCCATATTGGAGTGGCAGGTTCAAGTCTTCCTGCTAATGCTTCCTGCTAATGCACACCCTGGGAGGTGGTAGATGATGGCTCAGTGCTTGGGCCGCTGCCATCCATGTAGGAGGCCCAGACTGAGTTGAGGGCTCCAGGCCCAGCCCGGGCTATTGCATCCATTTGAGGAGTGTTCAGCAGATGGAATGTGTTTCTCTCTGCCTTTCAGGTCAATGAAAATAAATAACAACAAAAAATTTGGTTCCCAGCTCCAATCCATCTGCCCTTCCTGTCCGGAAGCCCGTGGCCTGCTGGATATAGTGAGGACTTGGACCATCCGCCAGCCCAGAGGGCCCTGTGGATGAACTGGAAGTTCTTTGGGCTCCATGAGAGACCTACACTGACCTGTGCTGAGCACCAGTGTCTCTGGGCCCCTGGAAGCCAAGGAGTTGAACAGGCAGGCCGAGC